GGCTACGTACCGCAATGAGAGAATCGGGTTAAAGCGCGCGATTTCGGAGAGTGGAGACAAATCGATCGATGGAATAGGATGGAGTAGAAGTGTAAGATGTGAATGCAACGAAGCAGAAGGCCAGAAAGAGCTTCTAGTGAATGCACTCCAAGAACCAAGTTTGAGCATCCCCGTCGCCAGCATTCGTGAAAGACGTCCGTGGGCAATTCGAACGCGTAGCAGCCTTTTCGAGTTTTCGAATTTCTAATCAAAACGAAAGCAATACTTCAGTTCTTTTCACTATTATCGTGGATAATGAGTCTCAAGCCAGTGATTTATGGCTGAAATAGAATCATGATTTTTCCGCGCAAGATTCCTTTAAGGTGTGCGGGAACAGCTTCAAACAAAAGTATATCCACTCATCCTCACCTCATCAAATGCATTGCAGGCTTCGTAAGGTGGAATATAAAGGTGTAATGATACGGTTGTATCGGAGTGACTGGGATTTTCCATACGATGAAGACCAAGTTTGTCTGGAATGGAGTGAGATTGAACTGTCTCATACCGTATAATGCGAATATCGCTTTGACCTTCTTAATTTGTTTTGTTTTGTGAATTGCTATTTTCGCAGCGGATCGTGATGCGAATGTTTTAGAGACTGAATTACGGACAAAACACACTGTACCCGACAGGAGGCCCGTCGCGTGACGAAGGCACAGACCCAAACAGGTCAGCGGACGCGCTGCAGCGCGTGCTGTGTGACGTGGACCGTATTAGGTATATTTTAACTAATTTGTCGCGAAAAACAGTTATACGCGCTGCGACTCGTTCGCTGTCCCATCTGCGGCTCCGCCTTCTCGTCGCAGGACAGGCCTCCTGTCGTATCCCACTACGCCCGACTGGGAAAAAACGTCCCACTTGCTTCCTGAGCATCACATCGCGTTACTCATGTAATTATTGATTTGTTATGGTGTGTCCCGTTAAAAGGTGCGTTGGTATTATAGTTGTTAGCACTTATGCATAAAATGCGACAGATTCCACTTTGATTTGAGCCTAAACGGTAAGTTTCGCCTATGGCTTGGCATTCTTTCGGAAACATTGAGCTTATTCTGTTTCAGGCTCCAAGACACGTTTCATGCCGAAATGACTTGAAACAGTCAAAAAAAAGCTCAGCACAGATTGTAGTAGAACGTCTCTGGACTACGGTATTATGCAAACGCTTAGGGTCTTCCTGAGGCTTGCTCTTATGCGTTCAAGTGTAGCATTCAAAATTCTGACAACTAATCGACAAACATCGATTAAAGACTTATGAAGTTACTTCATGTACCTAGCAACTAACATTAAAACGCTATTGGTAAAAAAAAGTTCGACAAGGAAGGCTAGAGGGGAATCCAACTGGTAGAAGTTACCCACAAGTAGAAGCAATGTGTAATAACAAATTGAAAACAGTAAGATAGATGCCAGACTTCGCGATACCAATCCCGAGTGGGCGGAGCGTTACTGGTCCGTACGGCTGGTAAGGTGGCTCCGCCCCAACCCGACGTAAGGTGGCGCTCCGCCCCAACCTGACTACGACGCGATGCCTAATGGCTAAGAGGCTGCGATCGCGAAGTCTGACACCTAGAAGCATGTCGTAGAAAATGAAAAGTACTGATGCAACGAACCGCTCATATAGGACACGCCGTTCTCATCGTAGAGATTTTGTTCTAATTTTTTTAATGGCGCCTCTTGATTGTCATTTTCAGGCCAATCGAACTTCGTCTCAAGTAGTGCTCCATCAAGGATCTTCACAAAACAATGCGCATCAGTATGGTCGTGAATACTAAAAAAAACCTTGAAGTTTATCTAAGTTATGTGAGCATTCCAGTATATCGCAATCGGTCTAACACCTTTACCTGCTTCCCATACCAGGGCCCCAACAAAGAATGATCAAGTTGTATTTGCCGTTGCCAACATCGACAAGATTGCGGGTGTACCTGAATGGATCGAGGTTAATTATGGCGACCCGGAAAAAATGTTACCAGTGACTGCTTACTTGTGCTCGTCGAAGTTGGCGAATTGTTTCCATTCAGCTGGATTACTTTTGTATGACTCCATGAGGTGCATCACCTCAGCGACGTTCACTTCATTGTTGGCGAAGATCTGTCGCAAGGTTTCGACCAGCTCGGTAAAGTTTACCATATCTGAAACAGGCCCTGCTTTCTACATTATTCAGAAGTAGCAGTGAGGCTTTAAGTAGTCGTAGCTGTGAGGTGAGGAGAAGGAAGAAAAAATTCCGATAAGGAATGTCACGTGAATGAGTACAACTGAACAGTGAAAGTTGTGGTCGGTGGATGTTTCGTGGCGGTGATGTTTAGTGATAGGAGTAAGAAGTCACATGGTACACTTTTCCAGGCAGAGGGGTAAATGTCGTTGAAAATCCGCGACTGTCAAGGTAAACCACGCAACCACAGGTCAGACAACTGATACCAGTCGTCCGATTAGGCATCACTACTGGCCAGCCAGTGGTCACCACCCAGTGACCAGTACTGGCCTGATAGCGACATTGCGATTACCACTTGCGACTACTACTAAATAGCGCTCTGGTTTCGAAGACAACCTCAGTGAACACTATGGTGACCGCGGAACTGATTCAGCACCACTTTTTTTGCTTGTTTTTCTAGCACGAGTAGCGTCCCGACTGGATGGCACGGAGAACCATGTCTAATACAGTTTTTCTTCTTACCTCACACAGTTTTGCTTAAAATCAATATTCGAATGGACTATGAACCTCCAAATAAATGAACACTATGGTTGTTTTGAGGAAAGTTCTTAGAATTACAGGGTGTAAAGGCTGCACGTCTGAGCTTTGAATGAGTTTGAATCAATCTTAATACAGAATATTTGGTGGGAACATAATAACATAGTGTTCTTTTTTTGAGCACATAAATTCGGTCAATACAAATATCTTCCGGAAAACAGCGTGAATCCATTGAAAGCTTTTTTTTTCACATTACAACACTTTTTATAATTTCTTCAGTAATTGTCCAATGAATTTTGATATGGTTGTGGACGTCAGGTCCCAGAATTCAGCAAAACACAGCTACTGTTGCTAATTCACAAATACAAAAACCGCTAAAAAATGGAAAGTTTTTTTCAGAATCCATCACTTTCATAGGACCTTATTCCAAAGGACAATACCTTTTCGCTTGATTTGAAACCATGCTTATGTCGTAAAATGAAAAAAAAACTAGGACACTGAAAGATTGGCTCAATACTTTTCTTTCATTCCGAATCCACTGATTAGGAATTGAAAATTTGCGAAATGGTGTCGAAGTTTTACATCGAGATGGGCAAAAAGAATCACTGATTAGTTTTATGCTTCTGTTTTTTGATTCGAACGTTTGTCGAATGTATACGACACGATATTGTGTTCCAACTAATCACATATGGTGAAGCTTTCCGCTCGACAATTCCATTTTGGGAATGCGCCACGCACTCTACTTATATACACTAAATCGAGATGGTTTTTGGATACAAGTAACTAGTGGCTGTTGAAAATGGGGTCAGTCGATGTGCAATCCAATGTTTTTATTCTTCCACCCAAGTCTACACCAGTTAATTTAGGCTGGGAATGGACTTTGTTGGCCAGCACAGCGTAAGACCCAGGATTTGATCCCCGAACCGTGCTCGTGATAAGCATCGCCTTCTACCATTAGATCATTTGTTTGGGGTTGCCAATTTTTTTGTGAATGTATGCACATAAAATACGTAAGCTAATATGTAAATGCAGCGGGATATTTATTTAAAATCGATATGCATATCTTCTTCGGACTTCTTGAATGTATCGGAGTTAAATACATAGTTTGCCAGCCATATAGCGTCAGCGTTAGGGACAACGTCAATGACACTCAGATCTTCTGAAGGTTAGAGATTTCTCTTCTTTTGTCCACACATTTTTTTAGGGTAACGTAATTATTCGTTTTTTTTACAATTTATTTTTTTCCTGATTACGGTTTTATTTCATATACAAATATGTGTGGAGATCATAACTCCAAACGTCTGCTGTTCCTAAACATAACAACATTTAGGCTGTAAACGAAGTTTGAGGCTTCAAATGGCGCGAGTATTACAACTCCATGCTCTGCTCGGAATCCTGGCACTGTATAAACTCTCATTAGAAATAAAATGAATAAGAAAAAATAGAAAACCTTTCATTAAAAGGAAACGCCCATCTTTCACGGGGTCTCACACAACGTAAACACCAAAAATTGCTCGCTCGTCTTAATAAAAAACGGAATACTGTAGGAAACAAATAATGGAGTTCCAGTGGTTTAGGAGCAAAGCGAAAGGCGACAAATCAATTGAGAAATTTTAAGATAGCGAAGAAGAATTCAAAGATTATGAGTAAGTTTTCTGATCGCGTAAATGATGCTGTTGACAAGTGGAATGAACGTTTTCGAACAATCACGACAATCATCGCGAGAATGGAGTTGGGGGCGTATCAGCGATCACGCTACGTTATTTCCGGGCGTCTACGACGCTCTGTAACCAGTTTCGTAGTAATGTCGACGAAATGATCATCACCCTTCTGACATTCCATGCTTCTTAATACGGAAGGCAATTACGGCGTTTTCCCTGAAGAAATACGTAGTTCGCAATGGTCAAGAATTCAGCTTGGGTCACAATGCACTTCCTCCCTGTTATGGTCTGGAATGCGTAATTCGTATCAGGGTTTTGAAGACTCCCAATATCTTTCAGAGTAAAAGAAGCTTAAAGGAAGAAGAGCAGTATGCGTACAGACTGGTTCTTACATAACAAGGCGAGTTGTAAGTTTGCAACCTGGGTCTAGATGTCGAGTACTAGTACCATCAGATGCGCCCAGCAGGTAAATGAGTCGAACTTGACGCAAAACCAACTTTGCGAAACTTATTTGCCCATCGAGTGGCCTGTCACCTTCCCAAGGCCGTAATCCTTTCAACTAGCCCTTCTGGTCAGCTCTGGATTCCAAAGCTTGTAACCACTGCATAAGAACCTCCAAATTCTCAAGGCACCTTTTGAAACGGTTTGAGCCGAGTTTGACGACATCCACCTACGCATCACAATGCCCTCTAGCCGTCGCGAAGGCCTGAATCAACGAGAACGAAGGAAGATAGGAGTTCTGGAGTTGGATAGCGTACCTTTCTGTGCTCTTATATTCAACCATTATGATTTATCCGTCAAACTCAAACGTCAAACTCATCATCATCCATTTGTTTGCAAGAGGGGATAAGAGATGATCTGAACTTAGGTTTAGGTCGCCTTCCCCTCTTTCAAACAAATAGATGGTGGGCCTCGGTGTCGTTGGCGGACCTACTAAGATGGTATCCGGAGCCGCTTGATGTCTGGTGCGACTTGCAGTGTTGGCGGGCCACTGCTCTTCACCACCGAGTGTCCTGCCTTCAACGTCTTGATACCTTCCTATTACCTTTAATGACATTATCCCTTTTAGGTCTCTTGCAATTGGTAGACTATTGATCTTTCTAATTATTGCATTTGCTATGTAATCTAATGTTTCGTGTTATGTTGTGTTTATGACCGATAACAATAATAAATAAACTCAAAGCCTTCAACCTTCATTGTCTGTGCCGTACTCAAATAAATTTGTTATATGTAGGTACAGTTGCGGTCAAAAGTGTTCCCCGAGACCTTTTTTCGTGCACTATTTTTTTCTCCAGCTCTCAACTTCTTTTTCTTCACGTCAAACAGTGCAAACAAAACACATAAAACAAAACAAACCCCTAAAACAACCCAAACATCAAAACACCTTCAATACTAGTAGAACATGCCTTTTAAAGCCCTCAAATAACCTAGACATATCTTGAAGAGTTTTATAAAAAGAGGCTTCACATTAATCCTAAAATCCTTCTTTAAAGAGAGAGGTGAAAGGCACGAGAAAGCAGAGAAAAGTTTGCACATGGAAACTGCACGAGAAAGCGTTTCGGCGAACACTTTTGACCGCAACTGTATGTATTAGGTACCGGATATCTTAGTGTCGCTTTTCTGAGTTCAGGAAGTTTTGGGGCCGATTACTATGGAAAATCAATATCTCAGAAAGTCCTTTTTGCTCATTAATACTGCGAAATATGTTGCTTATTGTTTTCTATTGTTGGTTCACAATTTAACTTTCCCCAATTTTTATACTTTTTTTGAAAATTCCTGGGTCCAGTGTGCAAATTCGCATGTGTGTACCAAATGCTTCAAAATTCTTGCTGAGAGCTACAACTTCCGCCCACCAAACCAACATTGCATTTGTTGGAATACTACCATTTAAAATGCTCATCGGTTTTTCACAGTTTTCTCAAAAGACAGTGAAGTCTTTGAAGTGATGCCCGCAATCGTCGTCAAAAAGGTGGCCCTAGTTAAATCAGTCGAGACGGGGCTGCACCAGTCTTGTGCTGAAATGGTAGGACACCTTAGCAGTGACTGATCGATGATGCACAAACGCTTTAACGAAGTTGATTGCACAAAGAAATTCTAATAAATGTGCTCATCTGCTACTCACGTGTGCTCAAAAAGGGTGCGTTTTTGACCCTATGTGGCAAAAAAGACTCCGGGAAAAATTGTCCAGTTGAGCTGGTAAGTAATAAATTTTCCACCAAACAGTGCAGACCCTACTCTAACTAAATGTATACATATTTTGTCCAGGCCCAACTGTTTAGCAAGGTAGAGGGATGATTTGTCAGATGATGTCAAATTCGACCTACCTCTCTTTTTCGTCTCAAAAATTTTGCTGGCACGGTGTGGTTTGCTGAGGTTTTGCAAGCATTGAAAAAGAACCTTCAAAGGCAGTTTTGTTGTATATTTTTGTTCGTACACAGAGACTCGTTTCGATTGCCTTGTACGGTTTTTGGAATAGCCTAGTAGTATTTACAGATGTGTGGCGCTCTCTCACACGCTGTTTTTTTTTCTGAATGGTGTGATAAATGATCATGCGATACCACTGATTTCTGATGCAGTACACAATACAGTCTTATCAGGAACGCGACAAAACATTACTCTTGCGACAGACGGAGCGCTGTTCGGCAAAAGCAGCACTGCCGTCGCTCAGAGCAGAGCAACTGTCCGTTGATCGAAATCACGCGATGGGGATCGTATAAGGCCGATGTAAAGGATGTCTTAACACATTGACGACAACGCGAGTTTTGGCTTTTTTGGCCACG